TGTACCTGGATCGAGAAGATGGGAAGAGATCACAGGTGACAGAGCAGACGTAGACTGAACGGACGGCTACGGAAATCCAGAGTCGGAATGTTGCCCAGCACTTCCACCAAAAGTATGTAACGGGGAGTACCTAATAAGTGAATGCCGGGTGGGCTAACACTACGCACAGTACGCAAGGATGCCGAACAAGAGGGCAGTTCAGACACAGCCCCACAACATCGTCGTCTTCATTCCGTCTGCGTCGTTTCGCCACCCATGCCTGAGGTACCTTTCTAAACCCGTGACAATTTTGTCACGTTTCTTTCTCAAGTTTCGTTATCGCCCTGTTACGCGGCAAGTAATTCACAGCACAAACTGCACCTTCGGTATTCAAGAAATTTCGCGATTTTAGTAGATCGTTTCTTGAAGATCACGCCCAATCCGCAAACAGTGCAGATGAATCTGGAACCTATGCGGCTGCTAGCAATAGGTGAAGAGGTAGCAGCCCTCACTAACATTAAACGTAAACCTGAGAAATTTACGAATAAAAGCGGGGTAAAGGAACTCAAATTGGGGACTACATCAAAAGAGGGACAGCAGAAATTCGCAAACACTACGGAAGCCAAATTTATACAGATTAAAAGCAAATTTCAAACTAAGCTCAAACAACAAGAAATTAGATTTAAGGCATACATAGAGGCAAACATTGAGGCGCTAGGCAAGACGATGTGGCAGAAAGTTCAACAAATATTGACTGAGTTCGACGCGAAGCTAGCAATATTGAGAATGCACACATGTAATGGGGGCCGGTTACGATCTCTCTCAAGCCGTACGCTAGGACCTCGGTGCCCTCCGAGAAATCGGAGAGCCTGTAACGCTGCCATAAACAGACGAAATATCTATACAATTTGGCTGTGCAGTTGTCGAGGATAGAAGAGAAAACAATACATTTTCTAACAGCATCTTAAAACACCAACACCCCGTTGTTATAAATATGCAGGAAACGCATGGGCTGGCAGAATAGTCGGGATTAAAGTCATTTGGCAGTGCCGATGTGTATACAAAGGTATTAACAACGTTGGTTAAATGAAATCATGCGGTGGTGCAACACGACACTAATAATTCAGGCAATAGATCACATTATCCTCAAACTCAAACCCATGCGGAAAATGGAGGACAGTCTCTTTGCAATAAATATTTACCACAATCCTCAATTCAGGGACCACAAAGTCCGCACGCTGTTTTGCCGAACCCTTGCTATAACCGGCAACCAAGTGGTAGTGATCGGAGGCGATTTCAACGCCCCGCAGAGGGCATAGGGATACACCATTGGAACCCATGAAGGCAGGTACTTGTGATTCGACACGCAGGAGGAAGGTCTGACGCTCTTGGCTGATTCATCGATTACTGCGAGAAAAGATACTAGTGTTTGCGTTGACACTACGCCAGATTTGACATTCACCACAAACCTAATGGACACGCAGAGGACTATTACGCAACACGACTTGTGAAGTGATCATATTATACTTGAAATAATGTTGAAGGCAGAGCCGCGGAAAGCAAAGGGGAGACAACCTAAAATTGTCAACTTGGACAAATTCAGGAATATCGGAAATGAGCCTGACGAAACGACACGGAGCACTCAGAGCGAACCGAAACGGTAAAACAAGACGTGGCGGCAGCTACGCCAACAGTGCCACCGGAAGCGCAGCTAGAGACTGTAGACAATAAGCTTTTTCACACGTACGAAGCTAAAAAAAAGTCGCAATAGACGCATAAAAACAAAAAAGCAACTGCGCCATTTGTAGAAAGATGCCTATATTGAACAGGGATATAGATCAGAACACCTAGCAGCTGTGACAACAGTGGGCGGAAAAATGCAATGACATGAAAAATCAGATAGGAATGGTGAAAGCTTGGAACATCCTCAAACATTTGTTAAACCGAAACGGGACAAAGTTGCCAGAGAGGCACAATGTTAATTGGTTAATACAAACATATCGAGGTACAGAGCAGGATGCCCTCAATAAAATCAATTGAACATAATATCTCAAGCGCTTCCCGTTGCACACCGTGACTGCACAAGGCTGGAAAATTATGATTTAGACGAGAAAATCTGCGAAGCAGAACTCATGATCGCCCTGCTGAAACATAATACTAAATCAGCAGCTGGACAAGATGGCATAACGAACAAAACACTACGTATTTTGTGTGATAAGTCTACAACTAAGTAAACTGAATGTATTACCAAAGTATGGAAGACAGGAAACGTTCCGCAACAATGGAAAACCGCAAAAATTGTGTTGATCCCTGGCCAGCCAAGCGACTGCAGATCGTAGAATTGAGACCTATATCTCTCACATTTTTCGTTGGGAAACTTATGCAGCACGTAATTCTAAAGTGTATAGCTACCCAGCTCGAGGACCGGGACGCACTCCTACACACAATGAACAACCTCTCATCGAAGCACGCAACGCTACAGTGGAAACATCACAAATTAAATGATCCGAGATCATTGACAAATGCCATTCTAGAGATATACCTCAAGAAGGCTTTTGATAGCGTAACGCATGCAACGGTGGTAGAGAGGGTAAACGATTTAGAACTGTAACAACGAACGTGCGATTACGTGTGTAATTTCCTGGCTGTAAGGAAGGCAAAGATCATATTAGGGATTCTAATTTTGGAGGTCATTGACATGAGCAGTGCAGGTACGCCGCAAGGCTTGGTATTATAGCCTATGTTATTCAATATGGCCCTAGTTGTGCAGCTGTTCAAGCGCCAAGAAATCAAACCTCTCGATTAGAAAATATATGTAGACGACGTGACCCTCTGGGTTAAATTGGGAGTGGTGGACAAAGAGAGGAAGCACTTCAAACAGCAGTCGAATTCATCGAGCGATATCTAGAAGATACTGGGCTGGTCTGCTGTGGGGAAAATCTAGAGCTGTTGCTGTACAGGCCGACTCGTAGAGGTCGCGAACCAGGCAACTGCTTACACAGTCTCGTTCCTAGAAAGAAATAAAGTTTAGAACAGCCGATGGAAAAACCACAACCATGGTCGACAGGATTAGGGTACTGGGTCTGCTCATCGAAGTCAAGGGCTACAACGGAGAAACCCTCAGACGACTGGATGCACCTGCAGCTAAAATAAGGAGGCTAAGGAGGTTATAAGATTGCTATAAAGTATAGCAATTAAACACTAGCTGTGGCTTGAAATAGGGAAATACAATAAAGCTAATACAGGAAATCGTGGTTAGCAGAATAGTAAACGTATAGCCGTACTTGAAATGCAAGTCGCGGAAAAGATCGAGACTGCCTCAGTCGTAAAATATTCAAACTAGCCATATAGGCTACAGATTAGAACAAGCACGGACAAACTGCTACAACTAGGCTTGCACAATACCATAGGTGAGCTCATTGAGGCACAGCGTACGGCAAAATATGAACATCTCTCTGAGACACGAGCAGGAAGATATTCTAGAGTGACTAGGTATAACCTATCACACACAACACAGCGTCTAAGTGGTGAAGGAGGAGGAAAATGAAAGAAGGAAGGAGGACATAGACCAAAGAGTCAGACGAGAGACGAAGATCAAAGAAAATATAGAGAAAAATTCGGTAATGACAAGGACGCAGTTTTCGTAAACGCTGCTCGATACAAGCGCAGACGGGGTTTTACGGCAGCCGTAATCGACAGCAACAAACGCTCTACGACGTGCGTAACGATGCGCACAATTGCCGAGACTGTAGAAGAGGTAGCCATGGGGCTCGCAGTAGCTCAGACAAACGGAACCGTGATCGTCAGTGACTTTCATACGGCAGTAAGAAACTTTGCCAACGACCACATCTCTCTGAAGGCGCTACGCATTCTACTTGAAGGGTGTCAAGCAAGCAACAGTAATACATTTTATAGACACCGGCTCACGCTTTCGCGGGGCACAGCAACAACGGGACTGTACATGGCGCAGCTCGAGGGCTCAACGACCGAGCTGCCTTCTCAATTGCCACCACAGCAGCCTCCAGGGACGATGACGTAATGGACGAGTGGGAGCGGGAAGACAGATTGACCTGATACAATGACAGAACAAAACATTACAGATTGCAGAGGGGCATAATCCCTCCAGTTACCCAAAATAACACAAAACAACAGTCTGTCGAATGACGGCAGTTACAAACAAGGACGTATCCGAATCCTAATCTCTCGCACTTGATATATTCCGATATATACTAAACGAGCAAGCGCAAGCGCTGTGACTGCAGAGCAACTTTGGAGCATATGTTATGGAAATGCATAGGAATTAGTGCCCATAACGAGTATGCGGCTTCTAGTTACAACCTTCGCGCGCTGGGTAGCCGCAATGCTCAGCCCCATCCTCGAACTTCGTATGTGAAGCCATCCGGGTGGCCGAGCAAGCTGCCAGGATTCAATTACAGCTGGCCGTAACCTAGACAGGCCATTGGCCCACCCCACCAACTCACCGGACTTAACATGAAGGTCCCTCCTCCCCCTCCTTATTGCTCTTCATCGGACAAACAACAACTACCACAGTATAAATAAAATTTGGGATGGAGCCTGGCCAGTGGCCCTTTAAACCATGGTCATGTGGTTTTTCATGATTAGACAAAAAGTTATGCGGGTTAATAGGACGGCAGTATACCAAAGCCTGGCTTAGGGAGCATTCAAGCGCCAGCTGGTTCGTTTCGAGTCATGCATGCCGTTCGTCCAGACTATAATAGTTATTTTGTACTTGTTAACTATTGCATGATAACTAAGAATTTCTGGTTTACTTATGCCATGAATTGTAAGCATGCAGTATATGTTTATGGGTGTAGCAACGTGGACCAGTTTCCGCAAAATCTCTAAAAACTTCCTTTTATTGTGCTTTATTGCATCGCAAGCCGACTTGATCATACCAAAACAAGCATATTTCTCTATAATAATCAATTGCTGTTCAAGAACTGTGAGGTCAGAAGAGGAAGATGTTTTGTTTATTCCCGTTTATGGTACTTTGTTTTCAGGTAATGTCAAAAGAAGATTTCAAAACTATGGAGGAGTACAACAATGTATCCTGCCTCCTTGGCGCTTGTAAAGATGGAAATTGTGTAGGCGACACGAATTGTACGTGGTGTTATAAGACTGGTGTCACAAACATGGGGATGATGGACTGATTTTCCTTAGTAAATAACATTTGAACACAAAAATGTTTCATGCCGGTGTCCGCCAAGACTTAAGTCACGTATGTTCATTGCAGAAGATACATTAAAAAAAATACGCGCCATAATGTACTGCGTCTGTCACAATAAAGTTCCGTGTCTATCAGACGACAAAGAAAAAAGTGTCCTCGTGTCTGTGTGCTTCCCTAATAGAGACATCGAAAGACGATAGTCTCCTGTCGCGAGAGGGAGAGAATTAAACGTTTGTTTACCGTTCTTCGTGAGAAGATCAGTGAGTAGGGCGTGAGATATTGCACCACGTGGCCATACTGTGATGAAGCCAAAAATTTTAGAACAAAAAGCTACTGGTAAGTGGCAGAACCATGACGTTTTTGTTAGAAAGCCTTCATGTGCGCACGTATTCATGTTTTAGGAAGGTGACAACTCCGTTCATGGTTGCTTACAACTGGCTAAAACGGCCCCCATACTTCACGGGCCACCATGTTGGTCCTGAGCGGTCACTCATTTACGTTGAAGCATTGTGGGTTTCAGCGAGAAGAGAGAGAGGAAACTTTATTAGAACTTGGCCGGCAGCTTGGTCTTGGTGGCCTCAGATGGCGGCGCTGAGTCCCTGAACTCGGGCGGCATCTTCGGCCTGCCGGACAGCCCAGAGCTGGTCGTTGAGCTCCGAGCTTCTGAGCGCCGCCTCCCAGCGGCGGCGTCACCGACGGAGAATGTCCCCCGCGGCACCCGCAGACGGGACGGCGGCGGGAACGAGTGAGCTCGAGGCTTCCTGTTGCCTGGTATTGGCAGCCGTCATAGGCGCATCGCGAACGGTGGCCGTTTCTCGACCATTGTTATCGGCGCATTCCCAGAGCATGTGGCGCAGCGTTGCTCTGTGCCCGCATGCTTTACATAGATCGGTAATGTGTAAGTGCGGGTAGCAGTGGCGTAAGACGACCGGGCTGGGGTAAGAGTGGGTTTGTAGTAAACAATAGCTTACGGCATCATGTCTGTTTAATTTGTCATGCGGTGGCGGGAACTTTCGCCTTTCCAGTCTGTAGTGTTGCGTAATATCTCGGAACGTGATGAGACGATCACCCCACGACCATTGTGGTCTGTGTTGTCGCTGCGTGTCTGTCAAGGTGTCTCGATCCGGCAGATCAGAAGCCCCGTTCTCGGGAGCGGAGGCGGCGGCCACGGAATGTGCCGCGGCTCGGCGAGTGAGACCTCGAGCCGCGGCGTGGGCCGCCTCGTTGCCCGGAAGCGGGACATCGGTGTGTGCCGGGGTCCAAAGGAGGAAGACTGTTAAATTTTGTTGTGGCGATCGCGACGCTGAGTCACCATCACCGCACTTCTTAAGGATGCGGGCCGCTTCCCGCGAGATGCGGCCGCGCGCGAAGCCGCGGATTGCTGCCTGCGAGTCGCTGATTACGATCGTAGCGTTCGGCACCGTGGCGATTGCTAGGGCTATCGCGGCTTCTTCGGCCGCCTCCGTATGTCCCGTGGTCACCGTGCCGCTCGCGAGGCATTTGCCCGCACGGTCAACGACCGCAGCGGCGTGTGCGTGTCTCCCGTCACCATATCTCGCGGCATCTACGTACACAACTTCATCGCTAGTGCCGTACTTCTTTTGAACGTCACTAGCTCGCTGGTTACGGCGCCCGACGTGGTGCGTCGGGTGCATATTCTTAGGAAGCGGCGGAACAATTAGGCGGTCGCGAACCGAGGCAGGAACATCCGCTTTTTCTCCCTGCTGAGTGTGGTACCGGATGCCAAGTGACTCGAGGATGTGTCGACCCGTCTTAGACCCCGACAAGCGTTCGTTTTGCGAAACGACATGGGCCTCAATTAACTCGTCGAGTGAGTTGTGCAGTCCAAGTTCTAGTAACTTTTCAGTGCTCGCAGCGAGAAGAGGGAAGTTTTTTTTATAGCAAGTTCTGAAGGCTCGAGGGTCGCTTTCTGAAGTTAGCTGTGGTTCGGTAGAACAGGAATGACATGTTCGTGACTCGAGCTTGTATAAAATATTGTTAAAAGAGTTCGTTTTTCCCACCTGGTAGATGCACCGCATTGGCGGAGTGAGGATATTTAGGGAGCCTATATTTGTGAGGAGGAGAACCTCGATGCCCCTGTGAACGGACTTCAATGTCAGCGCGGCATTCCTGAAGCAAATTCACCTTAGCACTGCAGACTCTTCAAAGGCCTCTAAGTTGAAGGCTCGAAACCTTGCTGTTTGTATGATGGTACCCGTAACGACAGGGAAGGCAGATCAAACAACCGGGTAGCTCGCGATGTTTTCTGTAAACTTAATAACTCCGCTAGCCTGTTTCTCATGCCTTGAATATTGCTTTTATCCGTAATATAATTTCCTACAGCAAGTTTAGTTTGGCAGGGCTCGTCTGTCTACCTCTCCAAATGCCCTTCCTCAGCGACCGAGGTGAAATCGCGGGAACACGAACATCTTTCAGCAAAGGAGAATGCCAATGCGAACGTCTGTTGGAGGTTGATGGGCCAGGTGTTTTCTGCGACAAATGTAGCGACGGCTTCGGAAACCGACAAAGCGCAGATAGTGAATGCATGCAGGACCCCACATTCGACTAGTCATATTATTCGATTGGTGAAGCATGCTTCGACTACGAGGATAAACAAGCATACTAGACCAGCTTCCGCTCGCATAGCCTGGCGTAGCCGAATGAAGCCCGATTCATTATAAATGCAAAGCATTTCTCAGCAAATTTAGGCGACTTTGATCGTATCTATCTATCTATCTATCTATCTATCTATCTATCTATCTATCTATCTATCTATCTATCTATCTATCTATCTATCTATCTATCTATCTATCTATCTATCTATCTATCTATCTATCTATCTATCTATCTATCTATCTATCTATCTATCTATCTATCTATCTATCTATCTATCTATCTATCTATCTATCTATCTATCTATCTATCTATCTATCTATCTATCTATCTATCTATCTATCTATCTATCTATCTATCTATCTATCTATCTATCTATCTATCTATCTATCTATCTATCTATCTATCTATCCAGCCGCTTACGTTTGTGTGCCTTCGTGGTCGCCTCTATAACTTGGAGTGAACCAAAATTAGCATGGGAGGGTAAGATGGTTTCACGAATATGACGAGTTGGTCAAGATATGAATGTCATGATCCCGTCGTTTACGTCGTCAAACTCATCCCGCCAGCACCCACGGGCGGATATGAACACACCCACGGGCGGATATGTGCCACTGCTATGTGGGTATGTGCCACAGGTGATTGACCCTTAGTAGCTACCCAGGAATGAAGAGAACACACATGGGCAATTTCAACGTGCAAGCGTCAAGAAATACGTAACATCAGTAGTGCCGACCCGACAAATAAAAAAAAATGTCAAGGTCGTAGCCGAATCGAACCCAAGCATTCTGCGTGCCAATGAAGCGTTTTGCCGCAGTGGTACGCCAGGTCTCGGAACTACTTTTCAAATAGGCGCTAATCTTCGCGCAACGTCAACAGTGGTTGCAGTGCTGCCCACCCAATTTTAAAAACATTACATGTGTACTCCTTTGATACAGCCGTAACGTCGCGTCACCCCCCTAAAACACGGAGACGCGCGCACATGTAGGCTTCCTAGTTTTTGTGAAGCGTAGCCAGTGCCTTCTCTATTTTTAGAGGAGGCGCTGGCGTAACAAACACCCGTTTTTTGTTAACAGCGTTACATTGTCAGCTCAGCGTAATAAACAGTGTGTTCTTTAAAATTACATGTCTATGCAGTTCTTTAATAAAAAAAAACAAACTATTTAAGTCTAAAATATTCATGTTGCAGCTCAAATATGCGCAATATTTGCTTTTTTGTTAACAATTTTCACTAGTATTAACACAACTACCAGATTAAGACGGGTGACCATCGAACACGGGCTTAAACCATCGTCGGGTGGTTGACTCGTTGAAACAATGACAGACAGACAGACAGACAGACAGACAGACAGACAGACAGACAGACAGACAGACAGACAGACAGACAGACAGACAGACAGACAGACAGACAGACAGACAGACAGACAGACAGACAGACAGACAGACAGACAGGTAGACAGCGATTTCTGCAGTATTCCTGGAAAGACTATCGATTTAAAGAAGCTCCACCAACAGAAGTGGAACCCGCCACTTTTGGGTCTGCAGATGCCAGGCACGCTATCCACTGTGCTGTAAGCCCATACTTTGTATGTTTAAAAAACACGTCTTTTCTATCTAGATCTGCCCCTTGCAGAGTTTTCGGTAAAGTGCAATAATGTGTCATGGCCATGACAACGGCGATTAGTTCATTCAACGTGTCGTTTCTAAGTGTCTTTCCCATTCAATGCATCTCTAATAAGACAATGGAAATTTTGTAAACACCTTAACAAATCTCCATGTGGTGACCTTACCCAAGCGTCAGCGTCACTTATAGCATCCATCCGTATAAAAAAATGGCGATTGCACGTATGTGTGGAATCCGTATTATGTGAAGCACGAATGGGGAAGGTTTATACGTCGATTTAAAATCAACACAACGTTACGAGGTGCTCATACATTATGCCGAACATGACGTCGATGTCATGATCATCATGTTTGCGCATGGCATTTTCGTTCGTCATCCATTCAGGTCTAGTAATACCGAATTTGGTATATGCGAAGCTGGTGAAACGGCCGCGAGCGCATCATGAGCGTAGCATGTAGTCATGCTTTACATGACACAAATAATATGATTATCATGTTGAGACGTCTCGTTTACCTTCGTGGTCTATTCACTTCACATAATACCAAACTTGGTATATGTGAAACTACCAAAAAGGCCATGAGCGTGCTATAAGCGTCACATATAATTATGCTATACATAACACGCATATAATAATTATTGTGTTAGGACGTGTTATTTACCTTTGTCGGCTATTCCCATCCCGTAATACCAAATTTGGTACATGTGAAACAGCCGAAATGACCGCGAGTGTGCTATGAACGTAGCATGTAGTCAGGCTATACATAAAATGCATATCACGATTATTGTGTTTGGACGTGTTATTTACCTTCGTCGTCTAATGACTTCAAGTAATATTGAATTAGGTATATGCGAAGCTACTGAAATGGCCGCGAGTGCGCTAGGAGCGTAACATATAGTCATGTTATACATGACGTGC